CTTTAGGGTCCGGTCACAAAAAAATTTATTTCTCATAAATATTCTAATTTTAATATAGATAATTTGTCTTTGATTGAATCAAAAAAAAAATTAGTTCAAGTACATGTAAACTAACCGTAACCCTTACAAAGTAAAAGTACAAGACAAGGCACTTAGATTAAGTAAAACAAATGAATATTTCAAAACTGCTATGATTCGTTTTTTGGGGTAACATAAGTGAGTACTTTTTCTAGTTTTTTTTTTCTTTTCTTAAGAATTTTTTTTAAGTAGCGTTTATTTTCGTATGTTTGTTTGTTTTCTTTTTTTCCGGTAGTCTACTATCTTCCACTAAATATAATCAATAGATGGTCATATAAAATAACTAGCGTTCAACTCCGTGAGATGCACGGACCATTCCCAAATTGATTGCAAATAAAAAATGTGTTAGAATTTGACTTCAACTTTTCAATTGTCATAAAGAAAAGTTTGTCATATAATCAATGCGAAAATCTTAAATAGAATAACAAACATATTGATAAAGTCCCAATAAAACATATACAGATTTATCAATAACTTGATATAAAACATAGAGATTTAGTAGTCTCTAAATTATATTGGATTATAATATTTTATCCCTATTAATAAGATTGAATATTATGTAATCAATTATCAAATGAACAATTTTTCAATGAATAATACATATTTTTGGTCCGTCAATATAGGTACGGTGTACCGAGAGGGTATATTCTATCAGTCACGTTATATCTTTGTGTTTTATTTTAGGATTAATTGTAAATTACACCATGAAAGATCTCTTGAATTTTAATTTACACTCTCAAAAATAAAAAATTTCAATTTTTACCTTCAAATGTATAAATTTGTATCAATGCACACATAAAACTAACAATCGTTAATTTGCTGTCTAAAATTAGTTGGATAAGTTACACTTAAATCCTCTTAAATTTGTCATTTAATCATTTGAATCTCCTCACATTTAGAATATTATTCATAAACCTCCTGACGTTTATGCACGTGTAATACATAATTCCTTATCATTGATATTTGTTTATATAACCCTTAAAAAATATGATTTCATCATAATAAAAAATTATAATTTCTATACTATATTTTATTTTGTAAGGCCGTTATACTCTAAAGTTCAAAATTAAGTTTACTATTTGAACACCTAATTGAGAGAATATTTTTAGTCATATTTGGATTTTTAGGGAATGTAGGTGTAATATTTCAAATGTGAAGAGTCTAAGTGATTAAGTGACAAACATGAGAGAATTTAAATATAATTTATCTATTTAGTTTTAAACGACAAGCTGGTGGCCGTTTAACTTCAAGTGCTCATTGATATAAATTTATATCTTTGAGAGTGTAAATTAAATTTTTTAATCTTTGATGATACAAATTAAAATTCAAATAATCTTTCAAAATGTAATTTACAGTTAACCCTTTGTTTTATTGTTTCCTATCTTTAAATTCATTATCCGCCCCACAAAATCAACAAAGCGATGGTTTTTTTTTTTTTTTTCTCTGATATCAGCTCAGTAGTGATTGTCCAAGTTAATTTAAAAAGAATAAGTTTTTGTTCAATCATACATAGACTGTACAATATTCCACCCCCACCAAAAGCTAAGTTGCTACTGAATGGAAAGGTGTCATATGCCAATGAGTATGCTTGGTGGGTGAGTCATCTGGTGTCGTCTTCTTCATCTCTCTCTCTCTTTCCCCCCGCATGCTTATAGCTTTATGCCCATTTGACATTTAAATAGTAGAGATTCCTTATCATTTGAAAACATACTTCCATTGACTTCAAGCCCAGACAGCCTCTTTTTGTAAAAGGAAAAACCGACGGACTCTTTAGATGATTTGAATTTAATCAGGGAATTAGTTAAAGTACGTGTAAGTTAACTCAGACGTTTATGACTGTTAAACTAAAAAACAAAGAGATACACAATTGAAGGTTGAATGGCNGAATTTGATATTAAATAGTCCCGTGACTAATAGCGTTCAATTTTGTAACATATTTTAAACATGTGCAACTCACATGACAAAGAAATTAATATTGACCACTGCAAACATTGGAGACCACTAATGTATCTAGTCTCAGAAATTATGTGTAGAAACATGAATGAGGAGAAAACAAGGTGGAATGAAGCTGGAGGTTGGCTGAGAAGTCTGATTCTTAAATCTTAATACTAGAATCTGTCTAATGCCCTTTGCTATTTAATTTGCTTGCTTATATAGCATGTGGAAAAAGCTTAAGAACTGCAGGCTTTATAGCTCCAACAGCTAGTGACAGCCTAGCCATGCCACCAGGAATAAAATAAATCACCCNAAAATAGAAAGAGCAGGTTTGTAAATTTGTGAGATGTGTAATTAATCACTCTCTTACAGCAAGTGTGTCTCCTCGAGTGAAGGTTCTAAAAGACATCAATAACTCTAATGTTTCGTTCGGTACGAAGGATGAAAAGTAGGAGGGATACACTTTCTATCATTCAAGGATAGAAAGTATGAATGACTCTTTCCTTCTTTTGTGTTTGGTTGAATGGTTAGAAAATTAAAATAACTATTTTTTAAAAAAAAATTGTGCATATTTTCACCCCNGCCTAGTATGGTGGGTCAGACATGATGAAGTTGCAAACAATAGTTTTTTTTTTTTTGGTTATAGGATGTTTAAGTTTGTGTCAATTATTCTCTTGAGTTGATTATCATAATTCAAACTAGCTTAAAGACATGTCCCATGAGAAACAAAGATGACAGGCCTTAGAGAACGTGAAAAATATCGAACCTGAGATCACTGAACCACCCTGANCCTAATTAAGATGAAAAAAATATTTTTTTAATTTAAATTTAAATTTTTTTATTTTTTTATTTTTTATTTTTTTTTCATTGTATTTTTATATGAAATTAATATATACATAATATATATAGACATATAAGATACATCTCAACACAAATAATTAACTTTTCATCCACTTTCCTTTCAATTTTGGAGGGATTGATTTTAGTGAGTTAGAAGAAAAGTTAATACATCTATTTTTTCCTTCATTCCTATTTTCCTTCCTTAGTAAACATTATGTTTTATTTATCCATCAAACTTTTCATCATTCTATTTTTTTATCATACCAAACGGAACATAAGATCCAACCCAAACTCTAGGCCATATATCCTCGGNTGAAGCGTTTGGAGCATCACCTTGTGGTTATTTAACACGGTGGAGCGTCGTATATGATAACTTAATTCAAATGTATGTGATTTGTAATTAATCGTGTACATCTCGATAAAATTTGTCTTAGTCACGAAACCAATCGTCATATAGACGTGGAGAGAGAGTGATCAATGGTAAAATAAACAAGAAACCAGTGATAATCCATTTAAAAAAAAGAAAGAAAAAGAAAAAGAAAGATAATTAAACTCTCTTGGAGCAAACAATGCCAACCTTGCATTATTGCTGAAGGTAGCTGGCACACCACTTTTATCATGTAGCTAACCATGTCTCCACCACAATCATATTATTCTAAACTTAAGTGAGACATGGCACAGCTTAGTCAAATGTCATTTCACTTTTTATATATGATCCAATGAGCTAGATTGGTGGCATATGGTCTTGCTGGTATCTACTTGGGCAGGACTTCATCATCAACCAATCCTCATCTATTTAAAAGATTNTGATCCAATGAGCTAGATTGGTGCCATATGGTCTTGCTGGTATCTACTTGGGCAGGACTTCATCATCAACCAATCCTCATCTATGCTTACCTATACTTGTATCATATATTATTAAGGGTCGACATTATCATTATGTAATGCAGGGTGGTGCATTATTTTTACTATCATGCACCACCCTGCATTTGATGGACAGACCACTGCTTAGCCTGCCTGTTGGCCCGCCGATGAAGCCGCCACTCTCTAAGTCCTTCCCAAGAAGGGCACATAATTGGCAGGGGATAGCCAAGACTATTTGAGGCCTAAAATGACAATTAAAAGTGAGATTTTTATTTTAAATATTAATATTTATTTTAGATTAAAAGTATTGTTATTATTTATGTTTAATTAAAATATCTTTTTATATTAATATCATCACTAATCCACTTAATATTTTTTTATGATAATCAATCTTAGAAAATAATTTATCAATTTTAATTTAATTTTAAACAATCATGGTCTACTGATTTTAATTTTCAAGTTTAATAAAAAATCAAAAATATTTAGATATATTTTTCTTAATAGAAATAAAAAAAAATCATAACAAAAAAAAAGAAAAAGAAGATTTGTGCTTAGCAGAGAGTGAGTGAGAGAGAGTACATATAGTTTACTATAGGGAGAAAGAGATATATGCTTGAGATGTTTTTAAGTTGTGTTTTGATTGATCAGTTAGATTTTTTTTTAACCTTTAGCTTTCGCTTTTTAAAAAAAAAATATTTTGGTGTATTTTTAATATAATGAGTTGGGTTCACGAGCCAAACTACTTAAATTTATTTTTGATTGTATTTAGATTTTTATAAGATTTTTTTAGGGGTCTAAAATCTTATAGATTTAAATTTTTTTGATTTGGACAAACCACACAACTAAAAATTTTGGAGCCTTCTTTGAACAGGTCTAAAGCCCAAGTTTTATGGGCCTTGTGATAAGGCCGGCCCTCATAATTGGCCTACTATTGTATTTGCTAAGTATTTCAGTGATTATTCAAAAAATATGCAACTCAATGCAGGAAGCTCCACTATTGTGAGATATGGAGAAAGTTAAATGTATATAATCTTACATTCGAATGGTTATTTCTGTTGCATGAACTTTTTATGTCTAGGTCTATAGGTCACAATGATGCAACCTACAACCCATTACGCCAAGGATTATCCTTTAAGAAATCTAAATATCTAAAATTTTAAATAAGAATTTACTTTCAATTAGTTTCACATATCTGATTTTATTTTTGATACAATAAAAACATCATATGTAAACTACAAATTATGAGCAATAGAAAGGGTAAGACTCGAAATTAGATTGTTTATATGATTAGTGCGGTAGGGGAGCTATTTACTAGATTATAGATTTTTTTGAAACAAATATACTAAAATACGATATTTTTAAATTTATTTACCAAAGACACCTTAAAAAAATTAGGGTCAATAATTTCGCTTGGGTGAAAAAGATGGACGAGCTTAACACTTAAAAAGTGTGGTTAGTAACCACGCTTCTTTTGAAGTGCTGCTACAGTTGACTAATTATTGGTTGTCGGTTTGCATGTGCCATGTCAAGCTCTTTTGCCTTTCTGTTTGCAGTGACACACACTTTGGTCATCTTCACCAAGATGTTCAATAAAACACATGACGAGAATGGACAGCAAGTAGAGGCCGACGCTGAAAAGAAAAAATTGGAGAAGGAAGCTCTGAAAGTACAGGCGGGAACAAACTCCTCCGCGATAAAAGAGGTTGACTCTGATTGCTTCGCCGTAATTCGAAACAAACTGCATAAGTAGCCTTGTTTAGACGAAGACTTCGAATTATTTGAACCCTTAAACATTGAATCCAAATCGAAAATAGAGACATTTCCACCGCCACCATGACTGTCCAACGACTTCTGATTAGAAATGGGTCCCCCAAATGTATCATCAACATTTCCACCGCCACCATCGAGATCATCAACAAAAGATCCGTTAATGAAATCTGAATTCTGTGCTGATTTTGCTCGGTTTTGTCGAAGATGGTTGGTGTTGAAACCAGAATGTAGGCCCAAACTCTGGGTAAACTACTGTTGAGAGAGGGACAGATCATGGCCACCAAAAGTGTCATCATTTTATAAAACCGTGTTTACTAACCACGCTTTTCAAAAAGCGTGGTTATTAAACACGTTTGTTTTTCTTATTGACTATATTTAGCATGTCAAAATGGGGATGTTGATCGCTTTTTTTTAACAAAAATGGGATTGTTGACTCCACCTTCAAAAAATACTGTAGCTTGATAAATAAGTTTAAAAGTGTCATATTTTAATAAATTTATTTTAAAATTATTGTACGTTGGTAAATGACTATGTGGTAGGGTGAAGCATTTGTCTATGCATATGAGAGTTGTCTCCTAAATTACCATAATTAAGAATTATTTCACTTATATTATGATTTCTATCTTATTTATCAAAAAATATCTTCGTTTCTGTAAAAACATTTTACATGTACGATTTTCAACATATAAGTCTGTTTGTAAAATTCACTTTCAACTCTATTAGAGTGTGCTTTATAAACACGCTTCTACACTAAAAAAACATGGATTGAAATCACGTTCTCATAAAAAATGATGACAATTTTATAAATAAGTTAAAAATTCGATAACAATGGAAGAAACTTAAAATTTTGTATTAGAATTGAAAATTTAAAATGGAATTCAGCAGTAGACCAAACTGAGCCTGAAATTGGGCCAGCCCAGGCCCGTTTCAGTTCAGCTGGACTTGGGTTCGGTAGTGGATCAACCCACGATCATTAACAGCCCCTTGCAAATTAGTCCCACATTCCCATCTCTCTCTCTCTNGTGGATCAACCCACGATCATTAACAGCCCCTTGCAAATTAGTCCCACATTCCCATCTCTCTCTCTCTCTCTCTCTCTCTCAAGATAACATTTGTATCAACCTATATCCAACAGAGCATCTATTGCACAACATAGATATCACTACAGAGTGAGTGTGGGTGTGAGAAGGAGAGAGTGTGTGTGAATATCAAGACTTTATTGTTAAGTTACAGAGAGAAAATTTGTGTGTTTCTATTACAATGATTTCGGTTCGACCTACTCTTTCTCCCGCCAAACTATCTTTTTCTTCTCGACGTGGTTTTTGTATCTCTTCTGCTTATAACCCATCTCGAAGACTCGCTCTCTTCCACCTCAGCAGCGGTATGTTCTCCAAAATTCCCTAGAATTTTACAATATGTGTGCGCGTAGTACAAAATTCTCTTTTGCATGTGTGTTTGTGTATGTTATAGTTCGAAGTCACACTATCTTTTTGGGTTTTCAAAGAAAAAACAAAAAGATAACTGGAAATAACATAAGGTTGGGTATTACATTTTGTGGTTTTTTTAGTTTTGTGTGTGTGCGTGCGGGTTGTTTAATGTGTGTGTGTGTGTGTGTGTGTGTGAGAGAGAGAGAGAGAGAGAGGACTTGGATAAATATTTGTGGTTCCTATTACAATTAAAAAATAGTGGAGTGGAGTCAACCTAGCTGTATTTATGTNGGGTATTACATTTTGTGGTTTTTTTAGTTTTGTGTGTGTGCGTGCGGGTTGTTTAATGTGTGTGTGTGTGTGTGTGTGTGTGAGAGAGAGAGNTCTTTTTGGGTTTTCAAAGAAAAAACAAAAAGATAACTGGAAATAACATAAGGTTGGGTATTACATTTTGTGGTTTTTTTAGTTTTGTGTGTGTGCGTGCGGGTTGTTTAATGTGTGTGTGTGTGTGTGTGTGTGTGTGAGAGAGAGAGAGAGAGAGAGGACTTGGATAAATATTTGTGGTTCCTATTACAATTAAAAAATAGTGGAGTGGAGTCAACCTAGCTGTATTTATGTACACACATGCAAACTAATGTGCATGTTGAAGCTTTGATTAGGACCCAGAAAGACGGGACATACATGAAAATGAGATTAAGACAAACAAGTTCCTTCATTGGTTTGTGCTAAAATTTTCTTTTGGTGGTCAAGGAAAAAAGAGTCTCTCTTTTGCTTTTAATTAGTTACTCTGCTTTCTAAGCAATCAAACAGGGTTCATTTAATGAATTCATCATAAAAATGCAGTATTTATGGCATAAAGATGTCAGCTTTGTGATATTAGCCAGAACAATACTAAAATCAAGTTCCGTTAATCAGAGGAAATTGGCATTACTGGCCAAGGGAATGTATGTGGATCATATGTGAAAACAGAGGACTGATGTTGCTAGCAGTGATCTTGGTAGGCTAGTTGCTCCTCCAATTTTGTTTTCAATTGGAAGATTGCTAATTCCTCCACGTCAGGTATCTTTAGGATTTACAAAATGCGGAACCCCTTTGGACTTTGGTAGCCATTGCGGCACTTCAACAGTGTTTGGTGAAGATTATTGAAATCCCATGTTGTTCTTTCTTGACTAGTGATGCTTTTAAACAGTTTTGAGACCAGCTTCCACTTTTGAATTTGCCTTCCCTATACTAAATACACATCTTTGGTTCTTCCATCTAGTCAAACATGTTTTTTGAGCCATGTTTTTGATGTAGAAAGTCCAGATTGCTGAATATACGTATATACATACACATTTGGAGAGTGGGTGTGGGTGTGGGTGTGGGTGTGGGTGTGGGGTGGGGAATGACATATCTATGATCATGTTACTTTGAATTTGAAAGTGTAACGATTGGATAGAAGATTGGTTTCTTTTGGAATAAACTTATTGGACTTTAATTTGTTATGCAGTGATTCCCCAGTCACAGTTGTTGGATAGAAGATTGGTTTCTGTTGGAATAAACTTATTGGACCTTAATTTGTTATGCAGTGATTCCCCAGTCACAGTTGTTGGATGTAAAAGCATCTCCATGGCTGAGAGTGGATGGGAACAAAATAGAGACCAGCCCAACTGCAAATAAGACGCAACCAAGCCCTGCTGTAACTGAGGAGAATATGTTAGAGTGGGCCAACAAAGACAACCGAAGACTGCTTCATGTTGTTTATCGTGTTGGGGATTTGGAGAAGACCATAAAGTATAGCTACAGTAGTTGAATTTATGCTTATTCACTGAGCGGCGCTTCTGTATGCATCTTTTACGTTGAAACTGATTTAGTCTGACATGATCTCAGATTTTACACTGGGTGCCTGGGCATGAAGCTGTTGAGAAAACGGGACATACCAGAGGAACAATATGCAAATGCTTTTCTAGCATATGGGCCAGAAGATTCTCATTTTGCTGTTGAACTTACTTACAGTAAACCATTCGTTTAATTAGTGTCTTTGTCACATTTTTCCTGGAACTTGAATTCTCGATGCCATTTATTTTTGAAGTTGACTTTTCACTGGTTTTGGTTGGTTACAGATTATGGAGTTGACAAGTTTGACATTGGAACTGGCTTTGGACATTTTGGTGTTGCAGTTGAGGATGTGAGTTTCATCATAACTGGAAAAGTTACATGCTTCGTAATTTCCTGTCACTTTAAATTAATAAACTTTGATAGCCATCAAAGTATCTAGTATAGTTATCACATATTTTTCAGCCTAGTTGTTTATTACTCCACCTCCATGTGTCTTACTTGAAAATCTAATGTTGGATGGGGATAGAATCAATTGTATTTGATGAAGTGTTCCATTGTGGTCGTGAGATTTGTTTTCTATGCTGTTGAAGATGATATGCATGAGAGAGGCAAGAACCAACTTATCTCTTGGAAAATAACCTCCTGAAGTTTATATATATAATGCTAACAATTCTTGAACGTGCCTACAATACGGCTTGGACCACACAATAATTGCTCATCAGGTTCCTATGTGCTGTTGAGCTCTTTCATGGGTAATTTGCTTTCCCGGTAGCTCCTATGATTTGAATAAACATGAATTCTCAAACCCCAATGTTGTCCACCAAATGGGTCTGATGGAGTTAGGAATTTCTTTTAGTAAGGTCGGTTATCAGCAACTAAAATGAGATTGACTTTTAAGTGTATGAAATGTTCAAACAACAACTAGATCATGGACTCTTCTATTCTACAATATCGTAACATAAATATTCGTAACAGTTTGAATTAACAAATTGTTACTAGAATTGAATTAATAAAAAAGAATTAAGTAAGAATTTTTTTTCTATAAGAAATTATGTTAATCGTCAGATATTGAAAGCCGTAATTCTTAATTATTTTTGGATTTAATCCCAAATAATTAAATGAATGATTACAATATTCTGGAATAGCTAAAAATTAACAGTTGAATAGGAATTCGTGGAAATTGAACAAACTTTAAGAAGATATTACAATAAACTAAAGGAATAAATTCACGAAAATTATAAAAAGTGCCGACCACAAGTGGATTTTCTTTTTCCTCATTTAAGTATTGTTTCTACTTAAAATAAATGTCAGGTTCAGGCCGTGGTTGCTTTAAATGACTTAGCAGTCATCTTTGAATCAATTTTCAATAGTTTAATTCATTTATGGAACTTTCCTGCCACCTTTGATCCTCGAGATTGGACTACCATCTTGTAATTTTTGAAGAGCTTAGGGGGTTCAAGGACAAATATAAGTTAAAAAAAAAAAAAATTAAGTTTCTGAATAGGTGCTTTTTCGAAATTTCAGTAAGAGTCACTCCATAGCAGTTTGCAAACCTGTCCCAATTTTACTTCTTTATTGACCACCTTGAATGTATTATTTAATTCTGAATATCATTATGGAATTGTTTTTCACTAATAAATCTGTCCTTTGGTCATTCTGGTGCTATATATTTGACTTATCATCTTTTGCTTCTTCTTAACAAATGTTTGTATCAAGATGTTCATGTGTGTGGATGTATTTACTTATGGATTTGTATATAATCTGTCTACGTAGGCTGCGAAAACTGTAGATCTTGTAAAAGCTAAGGGTGGCAAAGTTACCCGAGATCCTGGTCCTGTCAAAGGTGGTAGTACGGTAATTGCTTTCATTGAAGATCCAGATGGTTACAAGTTTGAGCTTTTGGAGAGAGAGCCTACTCCCGAGCCCCTATGTCAAGTAATGCTGCGAGTGGGTGATCTTGACCGCTCGATAAATTTCTATAAGAAGGTAAATTGTGATCTAATCTAGACAAAGCTGCCTTCTTCAATGCAATTTAAGCTATATTTCTTGCATGTTTTGCTGTCTGCATAGATTGTGTAATGTTTTAAATCGCTCTCTTTCCTGAATTTAAAGGCTTTTGGCATGGAGCTTCTCCGGAAAAGAGATAACCCTGAGTATAAGGTGAGTTTTTCTTACCTTCTGGTTCTCAATGAGATTCTTGAGTCCTGAATACATTGTGAGTTTTTACCTTCTGACTTCTGATTTTCGATGATTATAAAGAATATTGAGTCCCTGGTTCTCGTGGAATGCTGCTCATATGTTTTTATATGAATATATATATATACACACACACACACACAAAACCATGTATCATGCATACTTGGTGCTCTGGTTCTTTTTTGTTGCTTCCAAAGTGCATTAAGCCAAATTCAATATGACCCTCCAAAAACTAAAGCTTAGGCTTTGCTTTCATGCCATCCTAATTGTGCGTAAATGGATGTCACATACTTGTAGGTGGATATGCTGAAGTATGTGGGGCCCTTAAATCTTTTAAACCTGATGACTTGTTCTTTTATGCTTTTCATTTATCTGTATTGATCTTGTTATTTTGGGTGCCGTTTATACTTTTTTTGTGTGAATATTACTTTGTGTCTCAGTATGTTTGACACTACTAATGTTTAGCTGTGCTTATATATAGTACACAATAGCCATGATGGGCTATGGTCCTGAAGACAAAAATGCAGTTCTGGAATTGACATATAACTATGGGGTCAAAGAATATGACAAAGGAAATGGTTATGCCCAGGTGAATGCTCTACCTTATGTTAGAACATAAGTCACTGAGAGTTCAAGTAGAATAGCAATATTTTTGTTCAAAATGACAGTATGGTCATCAAGTGCTGTACAACACTTCAAGTACAATTAATCTATGTTTATCATTTAATGGAGACTTGGTGTTCATCTTTTACCAGATTGCGATAGGTACAGATGATGTCTATAAAGCTGCAGAAATAGTCAAACGGAGTGGAGGGACTATTACCCGTGAACCTGGGCCATTGCCTGTTATCAACACCAAGATTACAGCCTGCTTGGATCCTGATGGTTGGAAATCGGTATGTCTTTGAACCGCATTATCATTGTATAAGAGGGTAATTTACCAGCTTTCTCCAGCACATTGTTCCTAGCTCTTGCTACTGTGAAGGTTTATGAGTTATGTTTGCTTCTCACATGTCCGTTAGAGATTGCAAGAATGAATTTGATATTAGTAGCTTATATTAGTCTGTTTTAAAAAAAATTCTGGACGGATTTAGTAAGTTGTTAGTTACTAGTAAGAATGTAGAGATATGTGATTTTAGTCCTGCAACTTTTTGCATAGGATTTCTCAACTTGGTTTTCATTTGAAAGGTCTCAGTTGCAAGTAATCTCATGGTCACCAAACTTTCTAAAAATATATGCACATATTGTGTTTATTGGGTACCAATCATAATTGAATGTTCAATTCATCCTGATAAAAACCATCTTACCAACTACTTGGTTTGGGTTGCACTGTCAGCTCTATGTATAACCATATCCTTCATTCATATGTCTAAATTTAATTTCAACAAATTTTTGGACCTGGAATGTTGGGTGTTGTCACCAGGCTCACCTCGACACATTTTTGGGTTTCCAACTGTCCATTTATAATTATCTTCCTCATCACGCCTTCTATTTATGGTCTGTATCCCATTGACTTATGTGTACTCTACGCCTATATCCATCCATTCTCTGGACCCAAAGGTATGACGGGAAAAATATGATGCCCTTGCGCCACACTCTTCTCTGTTTTTAGGCTCTGCTTTCAAAATTGGTTGGTGAGAACTTTTGAAAATGTGGAAGTTGTATAAGGTATAAGGTACTTTCAAATCTACCTGTGGTCATTCATCTCCATGTGCCATTTTTTTTGGGCAAACAATTTTTTTTTTTTTTTTTCACTTTTGGGAGGATGGGGGCCGTCGGTTGTGTGTGGGTGTGGGTTGGATGGAGGTGTATTGTGTACTTTGATTCTGGCTGACGGTAATTGTATTCATTGAGTTGTTCTCCATCTTAATTATTGAACTCAAGCAGTTTAATCATAGTTTTGAACAGTTAAATCATAACTGATCATTCTTATGTCTACAAGCTTTTTCGTATTTGTTTTTGACCTGGTGCAGACTTTCTTAATGGCTGCACAATGCAATTTTTTAATTTAGGAAAAATCAACTTATCTTGCCAAATATGTTCTCCGTAAACTTCAAATTGAGATGATCATGCAATGCCAGTTAGCTACCACGGGGTAGATTTCCAGCCTCAATGTAAGCTCCCAGATTATAAGTTCTGAATGAGTAGCACCCTCGATTCTATGCAAAATTTGCACTGTGCCATCTTTTCTGTAAGCAATGAGTGTAAGATTGATGCTTTGTTTTGTAAGGGTGCAATTTCAAATTAACATGGTTTGACATTTTTATTCTTTTTCCTTTTTGTTCTCTTATGCAGGTCTTTGTCGATAATATTGATTTTCAGAAGGAACTAGAGTGACAGGGCATTATTGTCATTATAGCAGCCACATCTCTTGTTTGAATCTATGGAAAGGTCCATAATTATGCCCAGTAGAATCTTCGCTGTTGTTAGATCAATTCTGCCAAAAGTGCCCAGTGAGAGATAATGTATATTTCCTTTGTGTAGCTGCAATACAATATGTACGCAATCATAGCAGATGGAGTTTGATGTACATATCATGACAGCTGCTTGGGGAAAATGTAAATCTAGTTTTCTGCCAATTGAAATATAAGCTCGCTCAAAATCATGTCATGTTTGCACGGCAATGCAACATATGCTGGATCCCCTCAATCCACATCTGTTTGTCACCTTTGTTTCTGCATTCAAATTCAATCACCCTGTCTGCTGTTTTTATCCCAAAGTAGGCCCTCTGTTCGTTGCTATCCTGCCACTCTCCTCTGGGCCATGCTGGGATGTCTCTATAGACTCCAGAGACTACACCTGCAGACATACCAAGGCTCGATTCAGTGGACAGGGCCAGATGAACAAGGTAATTACATGCTAATGTCTGGTGCTTTTCTTACACTTCTTTTTCTTTGTGAATGTTCCTGCCATGTGCTTGCTTTTCATTTTAGCTACCACCTGTTTCATCCCACTTTGAGTACAGATTCAGAAATTTTAGGACAGTAGAACAAGTCAATATGCACATGGGTTGGCCAAAAAATCATTTTTTTTTTGTGATTCTGTTACAGAACTACCAATGGATGAAATGAATTTTAACTGGAATGAAAATGTTTCAACTGTGTGCAGATTGTTGAAACTTCCAAAGCAATTTTGAAATATATTAATTTTATTCCACGTCTGTTTTGTCTAATTATTGATTTGTCTAGTGTGTTTATGCCTTTTACCTGGCAATTTGAATTTATGTTGAAAGAGACTTGCTTCCAGTGGAGATCTCCTGCATCAACATTTATGCGAAAATAAAACCATGGGTAATACTTCTTACAATGTTGTTAGATGCAGTTCCACAAACAAAATTATCTAAAATTACCTTTTCTTGTGCGTTTAAGAATTTCTCCACCTTTGGAGACAAAATTCAATGCTGTCAAGACATTCAATTCTTTACCTTCTTCAGTCTGCTGCTCAGCCAGAGCAATGGTGGAAGCTCCGTACCCCTTCTGCAACCTTGCCCTTAACGTGGCAGCCCCTCTCAAGGCTGCATTAATGATTTGATAAAGTTGAGAACTGTTTTAAGTCGCCTTGCTTTGTGAAATTATGTATAAGCTGATTTAATGGTTTTATCTCTGAAAAATGTATCCAGATATGAGGATATCAAACTGGACTTAAGAAACACATTCACTTTGCACGCAAGTAACTTGATCCTACTGGATTATTTGAGGTCAATCATTCGAAACTAGGTTGTATTTAGATCAGTTGAATCATGACATTTGGATCTTCACCAAGATGCAGTTTTTGTAGTACCCAAACATAAACAAAGAACAGTAAACCTGTTGAACTATTGATGTGGTTAGTTTTGAGAAGTAGACCACTTTGCATCTTGAGAGCAGACAGATACCTGTGGCTGCTCCAGCAGTAAGGGTCATGATATCGCCATTTGTCCTCGCGTTAATTGCAGAACCAACAACTGATAGGATTTGCTCATGATCAGCTCCCATGTCCTCTGCAATCTCAACGCAATGCGAAGCTACCAGAGCAGCTGCAGATGCCATTGCAGCAGAAGTTTTTGAAGGTGCCTTATTTTGGAAAGTTGCCTTTTCAGGTCCAGTTGCTAATGAGGCCGCAAGAGCAGCGACAGCAGCAGCAACTCCTGCCACAGATACAGCTGCATGCAATTGGGCACTCTGGGTTCTTAGCTCCTGCTTCTTCCTTTCTTTTTGATCTTTCAGGAATCTACTCACTGTATTTCCCCTCATGATGCTCCTGTAGAGCTGTAAAACGAGAACAATGAATAGGATGGTGGCGATGACAATAATAATCAGGTTGGAAAAATAGATACCCCATTTTTTAGCAACTGTTGATTAGATAGGAATTCTGGGTTGAGGGCTTGATGGAGTAAAAAGAGTTCCTGCACATGTGAGACTTGTTAGAGGGATTTTTAGTAGGATGAAGCATTCAGTTAATGGTTTACCAATCAGGACTTGTTTTTTGTCGTGTTTTTTAAACATGGGTGTTTTCTAATCAGTTGCTCATTATTTGTTAGCCTCGAGTGTCCCAACTAGGCATGCTCTAATGATTAAATGTCATGACCATGTCTCACAATTACTTGAGTTTTGCGATACATGTAACAATAAAAGGAAATGTTTCATTACAAGCATTCTTTTATTACTTCCCCCAGAGTCACTACTACTACAGAGATTAAGCACGCAAATATCAACTATTTGGTGCACAGTGCTCACTTGTGCACATTCGCACACCGAACACACACAAAAACTTTGAAATACCTTTGTATCATCACTTCCTCTTGGAGAAATTGGAGGGCTTTCAGCTTTTGGTAATTCTTTAGGTTGCTGTAATACATGAAAATTATGTGAACAATAAAACTGGGACTTGGGTAAGTAGATAAATTATAAGATCCTTTTTTCTGGAAGAATGATCATTAGTGGCTCGGTTTTAAAAAAACCCTTGTTTTAACTGCAGGAGTAAAGGTCAGAGAAGGGATCTTACAAATTCCTTTGAAACCGCAGAGCTTCTAAGTTGGGTTTGATCAGCACCAACTGAACATAGAGGGGACTTCTCAACATGGTTACCAGCAATCTGTGTGTGGGAAAGAGCTTTTGAAAGTTCCACAGCCGGGAGACTCCATGATCTAGCAAGAAACTCCATGGATTCAGTAGGCGTTTCTGGTGTAGGGCAAGTCACTTGTAGGCAACCTAACGGACTGTCTTCCTCAATGTTTTCCAGCCTATTTGGTGTGTATTTGGAACCAGGCAAGCTCGCGGACACTGTAATAAGCATACAAGGTGAAAAAAACTGACTAATTTCTTTTCATTTCAGGGTACGGAAGCTCATTATCATAAAACTTACTTGTGGTATTATTGATTTCAGAATTTCACTCAGTTAATTATATAGCTGGAGTTGAACATGACTGCAACTTCTCATGCAAAGTGGAGCAAACAGGAGGAAGATAGGTGACGATAAACAGGAGAAAGGATGTGATATATAACATGGATTCTGCACTGGGTTCCAAGTTTTCTTTAGTGACTAAAACATAAAGGAATATTAAACCGCATGGGTTTGCTTCCGTGATCGAGCGACAGGTGAGGTGTAAACTGGCACATCCAAATTTTGAGTCTAGTGACTATATGAAACACTACACAGAATTACCCAACACACGTGATTTATCGGTGATTGCATACATTTAAAATCTAAAGTATAGCCCGAAGGGTTCAAAACATGTGATCGAGACAATTCTCCAATTTTTTTTTTAAAAAAAAAATGGTAAGTGGGGTTATGAATTCCATATTGCTACATGAAAGGTCCCAATTAAAGTGTAATAAACTTTGTCTCCACCTTCCATGTTTTCCTCTTGTTCTTCCAATCTTTTTGTGCTTTATTCAACAGGAGCTAAAGAGCAATTTTTTGAGCGGCGGGCTTCATCATGACTGGGGCCTCTAATGTCACCACTGCTACTGCCTAAAAGGAAGAAATGGGAGCCTCACGCATACAATATAAACCCTCTGGTTTGTAATTAAACCTTGCCATAGACTGTATTTCATGACTTGGTTGAGACTCTTTTGACTCTTCCTACTAACCAATACATTCCAAAAGAATAAAACAAAAAAAAGGAGTTTGCAAATGTGACTTCAAGATTTAAAAGTCATTCTTAATCCAATATGTTTAATTAACATTGGGTGATTAGATACTAATCTGATCTATTTATTTATAGTGTCGTGTTTAGGTTGTCATTATGCATAACCTNGAATTGAATTAATAAAAAAGAATTAAGTAAGAATTTTTTTTCTATAAGAAATTATGTTAATCGTCAGATATTGAAAACCCTAATTCTTAATTATTTTTGGATTTAATGCCAAATAATCANAATTAAGTAAGAATTTTTTTTCTATAAGAAATTATGTTAATCGTCAGATATTGAAAGCCGTAATTCTTAATTATTTTTGGATTTAATCCCAAATAATTANAAGAATTTTTTTTCTATAAGAAATTATGTTAATCGTCAGATATTGAAAACCCTAATTCTTAATTATTTTTGGATTTAATGCCAAATAATCAAATGAATGATTACAATATTCTGGAATAGCTAAAAATTAACAGTTGAATAGGAATTCGTGGAAATTGAACAAACTTTAAGAAGATATTACAATAAACTAAAGGAATAAATTCACGAAAAATATAAAAAGTGCCGACCACAAGTGGATTTTCTTTTTCCTCATTTAAGTATTGTTTCTACTTAAAATAAATGTCAGGTTCAGGCCGTGGTTGCTTTAAATGACTTAGCAGTCATCTTTGAATCAATTTTCAATAGTTTAATTCATTTATGGAACTTTCCTGCCACCTTTGATCCTCGAGATTGGACTACCATCTTGTAATTTTTGAAGAGCTTAGGGGGTTCAAGGACAAATATAAGTTAAAAAAAAAAAAAATTAAGTTTCTGAATAGGTGCTTTTTCGAAATTTCAGTAAGAGTCACTCCATAGCAGTTTGCAAACCTGTCCCAATTTTACTTCTTTATTGACCACCTTGAATGTATTATTTAATTCTGAATATCATTATGGAATTGTTTTTCACTAATAAATCTGTCCTTTGGTCATTCTGGTGCTATATATTTGACTTATCATCTTTTGCTTCTTCTTAACAAATGTTTGTATCAAGATGTTCATGTGTGTGGATGTATTTACTTATGGATTTGTATATAATCTGTCTACGTAGGCTACGAAAACTGTAGATCTTGTAAAAGCTAAGGGTGGCAAAGTTACCCGAGATCCTGGTCCTGTCAAAGGTGGTAGTACGGTAATTGCTTTCATTGAAGATCCAGATGGTTACAAGTTTGAGCTTTTGGAGAGAGAGCCTACTCCCGAGCCCCTATGTCAAGTAATGCTGCGAGTGGGTGATCTTGACCGCTCGATAAATTTCTATAAGAAGGTAAATTGTGATCTAATCTAGACAAAGCTGCTTTCTTCAATGCAATTTAAGCTATATTTCTTGCATGTTTTGCTGTCTACATAGATTGTGTAATGTTTTAAATCGNCCGCTCGATAAATTTCTATAAGAAGGTAAATTGTGATCTAATCTAGACAAAGCTGCCTTCTTCAATGCAATTTAAGCTATATTTCTTGCATGTTTTGCTGTCTGCATAGATTGTGTAATGTTTTAAATCGCTCTCTTTCCTGAATTTAAAGGCTTTTGGCATGGAGCTTCTCCGGAAAAGAGATAACCCTGAGTATAAGGTGAGTTTTTCTTACCTTCTGGTTCTCAATGAGATTCTTGAGTCCTGAATACATTGTGAGTTTTTACCTTCTGACTTCTGATTTTCGATGATTATAAAGAATATTGAGTCCCTGGTTCTCGTGGAATGCTGCTCATATGTTTTTATATGAATATATATATATACACACACACACACACAAAACCATGTATCATGCATACTTGGTGCTCTGGTTCTTTTTTGTTGCTTCCAAAGTGCATTAAGCCAAATTCAATATGACCCTCCAAAAACTAAAGCTTAGGCTTTGCTTTCATGCCATCCTAATTGTGCGTAAATGGATGTCACATACTTGTAGGTGGATATGCTGAAGTATGTGGGGCCCTTAAATCTTTTAAACCTGATGACTTGTTCTTTTATGCTTTTCATTTATCTGTATTGATCTTGTTATTTTGGGTGCCGTTTATACTTTTTTTGTGTGAATATTACTTTGTGTCTCAGTATGTTTGACACTACTAATGTTTAGCTGTGCTTATATATAGTACACAATAGCCATGATGGGCTATGGTCCTGAAGACAAAAATGCAGTTCTGGAATTGACATATAACTATGGGGTCAAAGAATATGACAAAGGAAATGGTTATGCCCAGGTGAATGCTCTACCTTATGTTAGAACATAAGTCACTGAGAGTTCAAGTAGAATAGCAATATTTTTGTTCAAAATGACAGTATGGTCATCAAGTGCTGTACAACACTTCAAGTACAATTAATCTATGTTTATCATTTAATGGAGACTTGGTGTTCATCTTTTACCAGATTGCGATAGGTACAGATGATGTCTATAAAGCTGCAGAAATAGTCAAACGGAGTGGAGGGACTATTACCCGTGAACCTGGGCCATTGCCTGTTATCAACACCAAGATTACAGCCTGCTTGGATCCTGATGGTTGGAAATCGGTATGTCTTTGAACCGCATAATCGTTGTATAAGAGGGTAATTTACCAGCTTTCTCCAGCACATTGTTCCTAGCTCTTGCTACTGTGAAGGTTTATGAGTTATGTTTGCTTCTCACATGTCCGTTAGAGATTGCAAGAATGAATTTGATATTAGTAGCTTATATTAGTCTGTTTTAAAAAAAATTCTGGACGGATTTAGTAAGTTGTTAGTTACTAGTAAGAATGTAGAGATAAGTGATTTTAGTCCTGCAACTTTTTGCATAGGATTTCTCAACTTGGTTTTCATTTGAAAGGTCTCAGTTGCAAGTAATCTCATGGTCACCAAACTTTCTAAAAATATATGCACATATTGTGTTTATTGGGTACCAATCATAATTGAATGTTCAATTCATCCTGATAAAAACCATCTTACCAACTACTTGGTTTGGGTTGCACTGTCAGCTCTATGTATAACCATATCCTTCATTCATATGTCTAAATTTAATTTCAACAAATTTTTGGACCTGGAATGTTGGGTGTTGTCACCAGGCTCACCTCGACACATTTTTGGGTTTCCAACTGTCCATTTATAATTATCTTCCTCATCACGCCTTCTATTTATGGTCTGTATCCCATTGACTTATGTGTACTCTACGCCTATATCCATCCATTCTCTGGACCCAAAGGTATGACGGGAAAAATATGATGCCCTTGCGCCACACTCTTCTCTGTTTTTAGGCTCTGCTTTCAAAATTGGTTGGTGAGAACTTTTGAAAATGTGGAAGTTGTATAAGGTATAAGGTACTTTCAAATCTACCTGTGGTCATTCATCTCCATGTGCCATTTTTTTTGGGCAAACAA